CTGTTGCTTTCCTCACATCAAGCCTTTCCTGTCTACCGGGCTTTACTACCAATTAAGTGAGGTATATGTATGTGTCGGCTGGGGATCGAACCTTGGACCATTTTCGTAGTTGGTCAGTGTTCTATGTTTGTACAGCTATGAAACTGTCGAGAAGACGATTTTCTTCGCTGAAATTTGTTCTAATAAAATTAATTTTTTCCATAACCAAGATCTTTATCTTGTCATTGTAGTAGGGTCATAAATAGTTTAACAAATCTGAAAGCAGATAACGTTATCCCTTCATATCTTACACTTCAGTTTATCAGATACTTGAGTGTTGTTTCCAAATCTAAGCAAAATTTTCAGTTTTCACTTGGAAAAAGACGTTGCCTAAATATTTCAAAAAAAAGAGAATGAACACTTCTCAGCAAGCCATTTAAAACTTTGAGTTTCTATATGTTGTAGAGGTTATTAAAGGGAATTTGTAGACTTGTCTTAATTATCTGTTACTTTTGATACATCCCTACTATCTAGATTGGCATTCAAAAAGGATACTGATTGTACTCTATTGTCTTGAGGTTAGATTACATAGAATGTATTTAGTGATATACTAGATTTTTAACCCAGTATCAAATGATTTCCTCACAAAACGAATGAATTGTGTTGCAAATTGTGCGCGTAGGTGGCACAGCGATTAGGACTCTCGCCTACCGTGCACATGGTCTGGGGTTTGATCCCCGCACTCCTTTACCTCACTAAGCCAGAAATAAAAGCTGGTAAAGAGGAAAGGTTGGGCATGAGGCTAGCAACCCCATCTCGTAAAAATAAACGCTGCTACGGAAACTTCAAGCCCTTAGCTTAAAGCCCTATGCTCCACTAGGGACGTGAAGGAATAAAAAAATATCATATGCTGAAAATTCCATACTTGAATCAAAAATACGGTGTGAAGTCAAGCTATAATCAAAAAAAAATAATTTAGTTACATAAATTTTTGATATTATATGTTCATCCCATAACTTTTTAAACCTTAACAACATTTATTTAGTGTATTAAGCCTGTTTAACTTAATCAGTTTGGGATGATTTCAAATTAAGTCCTGCATGTGTCTGGTTACGTTCACTAATTAAAACATTTTTCATATAACTTTGTGAGTTTCCATTTCGAAAAATATCGTGATGAAAATTTTAAAAAAAATACGTGAACTTTAGTGCAACTGAATCTTTAGTTGTGTGGAAGTGCCTTTATTAATTTCCGTTGTAATTGGCGGATGACTTCATGCCATGTAGAAACTATTTGAAAGGTTAGCATAATTGAAACTACATTGAAAATTACAAAACAGCCACTTCTACAGGTGGAAATGGTAGATAACGGCCTCATCATCAGGATGTTGATTGTAAAACAACTGCCAACACACTATACAAAAGCCGTTATAGACATCATCACAATTATGCCCCTTTTTTGAGTGCGACAACAATTTATTGTTCTGCTGTAGCTATTTTAGTAATTCTTGTACGATTATATTACTAACAGGAGTTTCAGTAATCATTCGCCTTCCTGTTAAATTCTTTTCTTTCAATTGAACTTCCATCTTTTCATGTTCAAATTAACTAAAATGACAAGTGGATGAACAGTGAATTAGTTAGAAGTGCACTGCACAAATATAGCATATTTTTAGATAAACTTCATAGTTGAATAAGGCTATCCAGTTTTACTAAAGAGAATCTATATTTTAAATAAAATTTAGTAACTAAACACATAACACGATAACTTATATTTTTCAGTGTACATGAAAATTAGTCTTCACAAAAGTCAGCTGTCAAAGCTTAAAAGATGCTGAATTTTTGAAAGCTTTCAACAAACGTGAATCTGCCTTCCTCAGATAAGTGATAAACTCAGGGGACACCGTGGTTACATTTTTTTAATGATTGTTAATGCCACAATAATTATATGACTTTCGCTGCATACACCTCTTTTACAAAATGTTAGCGTTTGTATGCTGTTCATCAAATGTACATATTCAGAGCTCACATAATTTACTGAGAAGCTGTTAACTTTGATTGGTATGAGATGCCTGAAGTCAGCAATCAGAACCCTAAAGGGGCATCTGCTTAAGAAATTTTGTGGACATCCGCCGTGTTTCCCTCGACATTTCAACTCCGAACACTTTATTCATAAATTAAATTCCTTACCAATGACTAGCTACCTATCAGTTGTGTAAGTTTATCAGCCGAACGCCATACACAATCACACTATATTCCATAAACCTGCATAGCGCGTAATGATTTATTTTCTATTTGAGCCACTAGCTTTTGTACTTATGCAACATATGAAAAATGATTTTTGTAGATGGAAAAACATTCTTTCAGTATTTGTACATATATAAAACATTTTGAAATTCATCGCAAAATTAGGTTTGTCGAAACCTATGAACTTCCCGTTGGACAAAAGTGCACAGTCCCTAATAACATATTGGCTCCAGGTACAGGGCATCGATGACGACTTTAGACTAATTTGGTTGTATTTTGTCTAAAGTCTTTGAAAAGTTTAAGAAGATAACAACTGTTACCTGTCACACAAAAGATGGTACTGGAGGCACAGTACATCAGTGAATGAATCTTCAGCTTGGCTTTGGCTCTCAGTGAGAACACTGAGATGCAAGTATATTTAGCCAACAGTTCTTAAAAGGGTGAAACCTGCGTGCTGTACATCCGAATGCGAGCTACTTACTATCTTTGGTTAATTCTTCCTCCCAATTAGTAAATCTGCTAATAAACTACATTTATTTTGATACCAGATTGATGAATTTCTAAACAAAATATTTTTATTACCGTTTTACCATCAAAAAGAAGTTCTAATTAGGTAAGATACTGTTATGATTATCTTGATAGAACACATAATATCTTTTCTCTACTAATTATGGTCTTCCTGCTTCTCTCTATGACTTATCATTCGCAAAACCACAAGCTTGAAATAAAGTATTAAAATAAACACCACTATGTAGGTAAATGTAAAGATGAAATCGCCCAAAAACATAAGCATTTTAACTACTAATGAGCTGCTTCACACTTGAAAATTTACTAAGTTTGAATTTGGTCTTAATGTCGGTAACAGATATAACATGTGTCCATATTTAGAACGAGAAATAAATAAATAGACTTTTGGATTAGTTAGCATATGCACCAGTTTTGGTTAGTTTTATTCATCGACTTATTATTTAACTAATTAAATGGTAAATTTTCTAATGATGCCCAGCTGATACTGATTTCAGCTGTAATCCACTTCTCTTACAGCTAGTAAAAAGAAAGTCCAGTTTGTTAATATGAAATAATTACGAAAGTATCACTAACATGCTTCATAGGTTAACGTTTCACTATCAATCGATGAGTATTTTCGAAATCATCTAACTGACTACATGATGAAATGATTTCGCTGTTCTATTATGAAGATAGACTGATATTCTGAATCAACTCTTGTGCTAAATAATTGAATAAGCAGGAATACCCTTGATATGTGATTCATCTGACATCAGTGACAACTGTTTTCCAACACAGCATTGTATGTCACGTGAGCGTTAGCTGTCTTTGATCATAGGTGCCTGTGTTCTATCTGCCGTGTGAAATGGTATAATAGGGTGAGCAATATTGAGGTTAGGCGTCGAGTGCTAGGTAAGGAGAGGAAATCAATAGACGAGGCTGTGAAGTTACATCGATTGAGATGGTTAGGACATGTGTTGCGCATGCCTAGCCATCGCCTTCCTCGATGGGCGATGTTAGCTGACATAGGATGGATCAGGTTGGAAAAGAGTTAGCCAGTGGTGGTCAAACCAAAACATGGCTTCATCAGTCAATGGAATCCACAACAGTTAGTTTAAGTCAGCCACGTAGGAAGATGTAGACTTTCTGGTTGGGGTCATCGGGACGGTAAACACCAATGGCTGGAGACAATTGATGATATGGCTTAAAATCGTTCTCAGTGGTGCGGATGCATCCACTCCTTGTGACTTATAATTTCCAATAAAACTATATTGTTCTTCGATATTACTATTCTTTTTGCCTTATATCTCTGTTCACTGTCTCTATTTTGAGTTTCTTTTTACTTTCGTCTTCTTCTTCTCTGGCTTTGTGTGCTGAGTGAAGTGTGGCGACTCGAACTGCTGCACATCGATGCAAAGTTCTACGTTGAAACCAGTCAGTCAGTGAGTGTTAGGAAAATAATCATCTTTAAAATTTAGCTTATGCGATTTTGTACGAATATGGATTAATTTTAATGTAGATTTCTTCGAAAACTCACAGATCACTGAAAACCAGGGATCACTAGAAAAATGTTTCGTCATAGTTTGGAACTCTTCGGAAGTGTTCAAACATTATTGCACGTGAGATCGAACCCGGGACTTTCAGGTTATGCAAACAGACTCGCTGACTTTTCATCCAATCGAGTCAGAACGAAGTGACCCGCGAATTTTCAGGACAACCATCCATTAGTCATCAATGAGCTGAAGGTCGATATTTAAATTACAGGTTTTTGTAGGGATGTGGATTAATTTCCATATCTATTTCATGACAAAATAACATCAGTTAGAGATCACTGGAATCCAAGTAATTCATGGGTCATTGAATTCCCGCCAGAGTGGTTGAATGATCAGTGAGATTGGCCTGTTAAACTGAAAGTCCCGGTTTCTTCCCCCACTGTGGTTTAGCCTGCCCACTACTAGGGAGTCTCCGACTAGGATGAAACTACTCGCCAGTGCTCCCTAGCTTTCAGTGATCCCTAAGTGTTATCGGCTGGTTAAAAAATCTGCACTGAAATTCATCACGAATATAAAAAGTACATCAAGAGTGTGTAAATTGATAGGCTGATGCAATTAACAAGTATTACAAACTTCATGCAATGCAGTTTCATTTTTTTCGTCATACAGCACATTTAAATTCATGAATTTAAATTTTTACCTGTTATTTGTCATTTTGTGAAGTATATATCAAACGTCTGAACAAACCTCTTTTTGTTTTCACTTTACACCTTAGCTCTTCAATGGCTTCAAATAGACGTTGGGCCGCCTACTTTGATAACTGGTGTCATTCTTAAATCGAGAGGAGATGTGAAAAATTCGCAGTACGTATCACGTTTCAAGCTATCTTACAGTAATGATACACGTTTGTGGTACTTTTACAAGGATGCAGCTCCTTTAGACCCAAGAGTAGGTTACGTTCAGTCAATTTAACCCTATTTGTGATACAGTTTTATAAAATCAAATGGATACGTTTATATAAGGGTTACAGTAAATGTAATGTAGTCTTTGAAATATTAATTTAAAAAAGATTTGCGGCTCAGAATGAGAAGGGGAAGTGTTTTGTGTTCCCCAGTCTTTGCTGTTGAACCATGGATATTTTATCATCAGACTTAATATAATATCTTCATTCTGGACAGTATTTGTGTAATATACAGAATTTTTAGCGGTAATTATTGCATAATAGTTTCTATTTGTGCCAGATCTTTAAATAAAGAAGTAACTGACAGGAAGTCACATGACACACTTCTGTCTAACCTGAAGCGAAAACCAATCTCTTATGAAGTTAGAAGTTAATTGGTGGAGGGTGACTAGCAATGGAATCCAGGATGTGCATTTCGTCCTATTTGAGACTCGTCAACTGAGTGTAACTATATTAGGCAGTGAGTGATGATAATGTTCCCACCGTCGAAGCATTGCACAAGAATCCTACATGTCAACCTGAGACCAAGCACTTAGGTCCAATCAATTGACGGGAAAATCCAAAACTGAATTAAATAAACAACCTTGTGATATCTCTTCTTTGCCTCCTTCGAGAAATACACAACATTCGGTTGAAAGTTAATTAAAAGCGGCGCAGGAGTACATTATCTGACATAAGGACATAATAAAAACTGAATAACTGAAGGCTACAGATAAATTTTTTTATTTCTCAGGCAGTGGCAGCTCGTACTAAAAACATCTACAACAGTTATCTCATGTATTGAGATACTTTGCTGCCTACAATTTCGCTTTTTCTGAAGTTTAGTAGAAACTTGAGAATCCACGCGTCTTAGACATTCCAAAATACTTACAAGAGTGGAAAGAACCATTCATTGGAAGTCGTGTTTCAATAGATTAAAGCAAACCTAACAGGAGAAGTTGTATACAATACAATGATGGAGTGGTTCCTGTTATAAACAGGCTGCCAGTGATATTTAAGACCGCCTGTCACCTGATTTGAAAATATACTGGTGATGTTGAAATTGTTTTCAAAACGGTAAGAAGAATTAAAAAGGAGATATTTTTGCATCAGGTATTTCGTCGTCTTCACGACTTATTATTGAAATAAGTCCGTCAGTTGTGCAAAACACAGCCAGGTGTGTGTTAATGTGTTCGTACTCAATTGCGAACAATGTGTTTGCAGGCTCTTACAACTGGAAGTAATTGCTACCCTGTGAACGAATAATCTAAATTACATTTTTACAAAACAGTTACAATCAGAGAACCGAAGAAATTATTTGTAAATATAAGAAAAACAACTTAAACTATATACTAAAGCAACTATTTGTGTAATGTATATATTTACAGAAAGAGAGGTTGAGGCTTTCAGCATTACGATAGTAGACTAAACTAGATTCGGTCAACTTAGACTTTCTTAAATCGTGTTTCTTGTGAATATGGAATTTTGTGAAAGTGTGATGTGATCACAAAACGTCTGCATAATAATAACCTTTTCCCTCAAAATCCGCTATTAAGGCTTTCATTGTATATCTTTTGTTTTCAGTAGCGTTATCGATGTAAAACATTTTCTGACACTGACAGCTCTTTATATAATCAGAAATTCAAGTCAATAACGACTGGAATTATCTGTGATGTACAGGTGTTTCAAGGGAAGCCTCGTTTTCTAGCACTTTTCAGAAGATACCAACATCAGTTTTAAAAACGCGTTGGTCATTTCCAAGCCGTACAGTCACTTTGGGGATAAATATACGCAATGTTAACTGACAACAGACGTTAGAGGGTATTATGAATTAGTAATAAGATAAGTCAGAGTGTATGAGTTATAATTATGTTTGAAAAAGCGAATAATCTTATGTAATCGGGAGGGTTGACAACCAATTGGTTATAAATAACAAATAATTATTCAGAAATAATGGATAGGAAACAAGAGAAGGGACTGAAAATAAGTTACAAAAATAAAAAATAAAAATGATGTATATTGAGTTTATTTTACGACTATTTAGGAAAAGAAGAGGCGTTCAGCCAAGAGTTACTCTTTTCGGTGATATCATTTTCAAGTTTTACAACCACATATGTGTAGTAAATTGTCTTAGCAACAAGATGAACATTTGCAAAGATTCATCATTAGAATTGTGAATTTGAGATGCCAAATTGCGTAATACAGAAAGTGTTAATCAGGTAGAAACTAAGATAACATTATTAGAATTGCAAAAATTTTAGATATTAAATTTCGTTAATGGGTTGGAAACTAAAGTAAGATTAAACAAGCAAGTTAAGTGACGTTACCTAATCGACAGGGTTGAGTAGAGCTCAACTAAAATTAAAACTGAAGAAAAGCCAAGTCAGCAACAGTAGTATTGAGGGGTAGAGATTTAATAAGAGGTGGGAAAAGAAAATGAAATTGTCACTTAAGCCATGGGAACAATAGAGGCTGCAGGAAAGCTCAGATTTCTCCGCATGGATTGTTGAAGCTTCGGCTAAATGAAGACGTAGGCAGAATCCTCTGAATAAAGTCTCAAATGTTGCTATGCAACCAGAAGTGATCAAATCAAACATATTCAAATCTTTAATTCAGGAAGCTTGTGAGAGCCACTTATTTTAATTCACGAAGCATAGTTGATTCAAGTGCAACATACAAACAGATTTCCTGCCTAACAAAGTTCATGAAGATTTTGAATGTCGCACTTTATTGAAAAATTTTTAGAACCGAAAAGAAGATTTTGAGTTTTAATTCACTAGTGTAAGTAAAATAGACAAAGACAATTGTTGGAATATCACTCGCATAACTTCTCATATATTTCCCTCCTTCTGCGTCTTAAAGACCTGATCATAAAGGAGGTTCAGGGCTTCACAAAAAAAAATAATATGAATTCTTTTCTCTGACTAAAGAATATACACAAAGACATATTTTTAAAAAGTGATTTTTTTGAATGTTTTGCAGAAAAATTGAAATACTGAAAAATTTGTTATTTTTCTCAACTTTAACTCTCAACTAATTTGTATTATTTCGTGTTTTCTTTTCTATTGGTTTATTTTCTTGCATGAACCTAATTGCTGTCATTACAATTGCATACTACGAATACAAAATACATGAAATCATCGCTTTCTGTTGAAATTTGATTTGTTTTTATTACCCTGCTCGCTTTGGATATTTTTTTATTTTTATTTTATTCCTTATTTTGCTCGTTACCTTTGCTTTTATTTTGATCGTTGAATAACACCTCTGTGTTTTAAACGTTTTATACGTTAGTCCACTGTATGGTCATTTGAATGGAGTCAAAAGATGAAAGAATCAGATAATAAGAGGAAACCTGATAAAGTATGATAGTTTAAATTATAATCTGGACAGGACTTTTATACACGTATAAATATGTATGCATATGTGAATTTCAAGTGTTAGTCCCTAGGAATTTGATTGGTTCCAAGCTTGATTATGGATTGATATCAGTCACAGGATCTTCTAAAACCAGGGAGTTTTTTTTATTCCTTCACGTTACCAGTGGAACATAGGGCTTCAAGCATCTAGCTTGAAGTTTCTGTAGCAGGGTTTATTTTAACAGGATGGGGTTGCTAGCCTCATGCCCAACCTTTCCTCCTCACCAGCTTTTTATTAATTCTGGCTTAGCGAGGTAAAGGAGTGCGCCGGCCGGGGATCGAACCCCGGACCATGTGCATGGTCGGCGAGCGTCCTTGCCGCTATGTCACCGAAGCACAAAACTAGGGAGTACTGAACAATTATTATAAACTGGCTTAAGACCCTAAAGCAGTACACACTCGTTACCCCGATGGGATACAACCCAGGACCTCCAGCTGGTTGAAAGTTCAGCCACTGAGACGAAATCTAATGACTTGTGAATCTTAACTCCTGTGCGTCGGCGGCACAGTGGTTAGGACGCTTGCCGACAATGCACATGGTCCGGGGTTTGACCAACTGCCGATGCACACCTGAAATCAATGATTGGCCTGCTGAATTTGGGCTACCGATATCTTTTGCTGAAAATTGCATACTTGTACCAAAATACGGTTTAGAATCAAGCTATAATAAAATAATATATATGTCAGTTTATCAGCCTACAATGAAAATTGTACTTCACTATTCATTTTCGTTAATCCCATCGCATTTCTAATCTGTTCTATGTTATTCCTGTTATACTGCATGACCGAACCACAATGTTATATTTTTTGCAGCTATATATTTTATGTTCAAAGTACATTGTAGCAAAGTGAATCAATCCGCCAAACATTGACTAAATGAGCTCTATTCACAATGCCGCATACACACCCAAAAGCCAACTTAGTCCGGCATTTATGAGTTACAATGCTTAACACCAGTGTATTTTTCACATAGATCTATTTTTATTTTGTCACATATTGATAGTAAACTGGCAAAGTTATTGACACTTCCTACTGCTTTACCCATCACTAATTACTCGGTACACTCAAAGCACGTGATGGTAAATTTGCGAATTTCTTTAAAAATCACTCCAACGTCAGGTTTGTTGACAGTCGATATTTTCTCTTAGCTTAAAATGAAAATTTAACAAAAAAAATAAGAATGGATTACTGTCATTTCTTCTTTTTGACAATTAACTTCTAATCAGTCAACCCAAATTTCACCCTCTTGTATAAATGAAGGCATAAAGACACATTTTGTGAGGAGTTGAAAATAACTGGCAGCAGCCAACAGTTTTAAGAAAGAAAGAAAGGTGAAATATTACATCAGGGTGAAAGTATGTACATCTAGAACTTATCAAATAAAACCGCAAAACAAGGATGAGAAATATTCAACTGTTCTCAGTTCGTTTAGACGCTACCTAAGATGGCCTACACTTCCGAGTATTTAAGGAAAAATGAAAATTTTTGCTTGATGAGTGTCTGTTTCATTTCTCATTCGTTCATAAAAAAAGAATGAAAAGAATTTGAGCACAGAGGTTATTTTCATTCCAACACATCGAGGACTTTTTCGATTTAAATCATGGAGGCCATGATTTACTCCATAATCACATGATCTGAGAAAAATTAAGTGAATTAACTCTTAGTGTAAATAAACATAGAGAAAGACGAATTAAACATTACATAAAGCTCCTTTTATTTCTAATGAAACTGTCTTTAACAGTCTCTTCAAAAGTGAGAGAAGAATACTCACGAGATCATTGCGAACGGTGAGAATGTGACTTTCTATGTTTATTGATTTCATGATACATTTGGCTTTGAAGATAACACTGATGTTGTAATGGGAGACGCTAAATAAACATCTTGGTACCCAGACGTTATATTTTGATAAATTTCAAGCTAGTATGTGCATCACTTTCGGGAAGAGGGATAACATAAGATGTATTACTTAAATTATCAAATGTTGAGCTATCTTTCACAGAAATAAAAGGCGACATATCACTGCCTAATTTAACAATCCTTAATGGATAACAAGGTATGTGTGGACTTGGAGATAGATGTCTACCCAAAGGTGTAACTAACAGGTTTTGATTGAGCAAAGTTTTCTACTATAATGACTTATCTGTTATTTGTCATCGTAGTCTAATGCATTAAACTTTGGATACATGAGCATAATTATTGTCAGGTATTTTGTTTTTATTGTTGGTGCTCCCACGTCCCGCCTGAAACATTGGCTTTCAGCGTTACATCTCCATTCCACTCGGTTCACTGGCTGTACGACTGCCCACAAGCCTTCATTTCCTCTTCATATGATCTTTTCCATGTCACTTTCGGAAATCCAACCGGTCTGTTTGCGTCCAGCTTCCACTTGGGGGCTTGGTGTCTCCCCAGTCTATGTCCAGTCCATTAGTTACATAGACACCTGTGGTGCCACCTGATAGCACTAAACTCAATTGCAGTTAATCCATTCACTGTTCTGCAATGGTCTTTTTCATACTTAAGGCTTTTCTGTGCAATACTGCATATACGCTTGATATTCATTCAGTCTTCTGTCCATTTTACTTTGTTAGTCACATGTGTAAAACAGACTCACGCATATATTATCACTGTACTTTTTAGAATGTAAAATTAAATAATGCTAGAATCGTGCTTTTGCTCGAAACTTGAGATTTTGTATTCACTGACAGTTGTAAGAGTTGAAGCTTAATCACATCTATTACGTTAGTTGATGTGATCTTAAGAAACAGAACGTATTATATGATTAGTCTTGAAATATACCATATCAGACAGAACCTGAATTTGGACATTATTTTTACTTGTTCGTTTGCAAGGATTAGATAAATTTCAAGTTTGATCACGGACTGACTTTAGTCAGAGAATCAATTAAAAAACCAAGGAGTACAGAACGGCTGTTTTGTTCAGTTTTGGAACTCCTCATCAGTATACACCCATGACCTTATCGCAAATCCAACCTAGGATCCCCAAGTTACTACGTGAGCCTGTTGATTAATTAACGTCATGGATGGAAATACAATGTCCCATGATATCAATTCATTATCTAACTTCATACTAATCAAAACCCTGCAAATTAGCGCTTGAAAATTAGCCTCATGTTCACAGAATCAATTTGTTTGAGGTCCTGATCAGAATTCGTGACCACTGCAGTCCTCCAAGTTGAATATGGAGACATATACTCGCTGGTGTCACTGATCTCAGGTGGCACTACATATCACGCAGTAGCAGAACCTAGGGCTGATGGGCTACGGGATTCCGTCTCAGAGGATGAAGAGTATACAGCCTCACCTCTCAATCTGGAGATCCAGCATTAAATTCGTGGTGAGGACATTTGTGCTTACTGCTGAGGAGCTTCAGGATGGGCAAAACATCCGTCCAGCACTCCCTAGTTCTCTGAAGGAAGTTTATCAGCCATCTAACCTGAAATTGAACAATAGTTGTGGTTAACTACCTTGTATTTTTATTTCTGTTTTGTGCGACCCGCCAGAATTCCTTAAAATTTTATTGTGCAGCCATTACTAGTACAAATCTAAACAGAATTTGGTGACATAAATAGCCATTTTGTACCAACTAGTTGAATGTCAGATGACTGGCGTGATAATCAATGCTTTATTAGTGTGCTTTGTTTTTCGATACACACACTAGCCATCTCATGAATTCATTAAGCTGGAATGAACACTATTCCCTATACTCACAGTAACATCAGCATGTATATAATTTGTGAACATATTTCAGTTTTCGTTTGGTGAGCATTTTTGTTTTACTTTGATTTACTGCATTTTTTTGTTCTTCTAATTTTCTCGATCAAAGTTTTAGTTAATTTTAGTTCACAAAAATGTTTTGGCATGTTTGTAAAAAAAAATATGATGACAATTAGAATTGGTGCATAAAAATTTTGATTTTTTTCTCTTAATTTTCATGAACAAACCAATCATCAAATCAAATTACCAAAAAATATTCTCTTTGAAAGGTATTCGATGGTAATAATGAGCAGGTATCTGAGCGTGTGCATTATTTGGCAACACCATTTGTTGCTCGTTATGTGCGTATTCATCCAGTTAACTGGCGAAGTCGTATAGCAATGCGTGTTGGTCTAATCGGCTGTAAACAGAAAGGTTCATGTGGTGCTGGTTTCTTTAGAATCAATAATGAAAGTTCTTGCGGTAAGTTTACGATAGATTAAACTATAAAGTATGCAAGTACAAATAGTCGTTCAGTTTCATTCGTGAATATATATGTTAAGCCTACACAGTTTCCGCCTAATATGAGGGATAAACGAAGATAAACCCATGTTGCTTAAATGGTCGGAACTATATGCACATCAAGATGATTTGATAAAATCAGGAAAAATGTATCTTTTTGTGTTCATTGAAATACCTCATTCTTTTCTCAGTCCATTATTCTTTTTTTATGTGTACAAGAGTCAATGCGTTTTTCTGTAGAAAAACAACTTTATGTTTTGCCACCCAACAGTTTAAAAGACAGCATTGTGATGAAAGTGGTCTATTAGTCCTTTCGTTAAATCAGCCGAAATCTTCAGATGGGCGTAAATCTAAAAAACGCAAGACCCGTCTAAGGCACTGTACTCGAATCGTTAGTTTTCTGGGCGATTGACCATCAAAAGCATTTTTAAGGTTAACTAGTAAGAAGAAATATGTCAAAGTAATATAAATTCTCAAACTAAGAACTCAAAAATACGCAGTGCATGGTAAAAGAACTTTTAATAAACAATTTTCAAGAGAGGGTGGGACATAAAGGAAACATCTACAACACGTATACTTTAATCATAGCGTGAGTGTAACTCCAGATACGTTCTAAGTGAGATAGTTTCATTGAAATGGAGAACTATGATTGCAGGAGGGATAACTCAGTAAACTCAATATAATTTATTCTACTTTTTTGGAATACGGAGCACCAAGCTGTTGACGTTTAATTAACAAAGGTTTTGTTTTGATGGTGTATCATTGCCAGCCTAATGCCCAAACTTCTTTTTTGTGCGTCTTACTATCGACTAGTATAGTTGGCGGTTTAGCATTGCGTCCTCCGTAAATTGAACCTGGTCCATGTTTGTAGCTGTTGAGTACTCTACCAGTGAACCACCAACGTGACTTGTACTACTTGTTAGTAGTATGATGCAGAAGATAAAATAAGTCGGGGAGAACAGATTAGTAGAGGTTAGTTAGGAAAGGAATTAACAAATAACCTGGAAAAGTAGAATTATTCAAATGTTGAGAAAAATGAGAAGGAACAAGAATAAAGTGAGAGCAAAGAAGATGCAAGTCTTTTACTCAATATTATGGATACTGTATATACTAATAGGCAGTATGTATTATATTTCACACTGTACTTGCTTCCTTACTACCATTTATGATCATGAATTGTGACCTTAAGACTTTTGTACTTTCAAGTATTGGTTTTGTAGGGATTTTGTTTGATTGGATGGAGGATTTCATCATAAGCTGACATCAGTTAGAGAACCACTGGAAAACCTGGTAGTACTGGACAGTTGTTTCGTCCTAGTTTGCGACTCTTCAATAGTACGCGCCCACCTTGTAACTAGAAGGCCCTGAGTTCGAACCCCGGTGGGTGCGTACTGTTGAAGAGTCCCAAACTTTTGTATTTCCAAAGAAACTCGTGCATAAGTTTGACCCCAAAACATAACATTATCTAATAGTGAATTTTACTCCATTTTACGAAATTATTTTTAATAACTTTGCAGAAATTAAAAGTGGAGTCATTGTGTCTCAAGATACTTGGATGACTAATATCATAACTGAAACTTCACGCTGAGACAATTTTAGATAGTTTTAGGTTGGTAGACTGTCACAGATGTAATGTGTGTTGGCACTATTCCAACCATGGACCTCCGAATTACTAGTGGTGCCCTCTCTCAGATGAACTGCGTGGCTCAACTGTGTGTTGGCAGTCCAGCGGTAGAATACTAGCCAGCCGCGCCTCACATGAACCAGGGTTCGATTCCCGGCCGGTGCACTCCCGTAACTTGCTTAACTGACAGTTAACCCTGGAAAGAGGAAGGTTAGCAACTTCAGCACGTATAAGACCACACCGCCGCTACTGAAACTTCAAAGCTGAAGCTCGAAACCTTATATTCCACTCGGAACACAGAGGAATAAGATGACAATGACAAAAAACATGACCCAAATGCTTAACAGGTCGTCATTTCACTGCAATCAGCAGTTGGTAATGCTCAGCCCTCATGCGCATGAATGATACGTTACAATCTGTTCGTCATCGCACCAGTTGTTTAGACCTTTATTTCACCTTTTCTGAAAGAAACGACAGAAACTAATCTAAAGGAATGTAGGTGAAATAAAGTACATCTCATTCTCTTAGTTTTATAAATATCCAAACACTGTATTCACTTTTAATTTCTCCAGTTTTGAACTTTAATCAGAGCTACTCATTTTAATTTTAAACTCATATTTCCAATGAATTATTTCCCACCTAGTTGCTAATCTTGCCTACAAGAAAAACGCCTGGTTAACACCGGAGTCCTCAAATCATCGCAAAAGAAATTTACCAGACTCAGATAAATCGCTACATCCACTTGATTTTACCAAAGGAATAAGAAATTCTTTAACCTCAGAAAATCCTTCACATTTTCAATATTCTGAAAACCAACGTCCACCTATGCTGGCGCATCATAGAATCAGAGATAATACTGTAAATTCAAAAACACTCAAGTTTAATAATATACCGTTGTGGTCATCAGTTGATAGTATGATGAATGAACCATACATGGGTGACAGTGCTGATGGCATGGCATTATTAGCTGTTGATGGATGGACAGGTGAAGAAATACTCTTGAAAAACTCAACACTTTCAACAAGATCATCAGAAAAATTAATGAATGATGCTCCAGATGGAAAGCACCTTACAAATGATAGTTTGAATAGAAGAGGAATAAATGGCATACACCAGCCGGCGACAAATCTGCAGAAATCTGCTCATCCGTGTACAATACTTGAATATCGCTGGCCCTTCGTCGAGCTGCCATCATGGTATGTGGACCTTAGAGAACACACTGAAGTGAATGGAGTTGTTATTTATACAGCAGGTCATGGAAGAGGTCAGTTGCTTTTTGTATGAAATAATAGTCCACAAATGGAATATTTGATTTTATCCCTTCAGGTTACTGTTTAGAATCTAGACGAAAAATATTATTATTATATTCAGCTAATGAATGCTGCTTGATTCTCAAAATTCAGGTAGAAAGTGAGACAATGCAGAATTTTTCTAAACGCTGAACTATTTAAGAACGGAATAAAACTCAAAGATGAGTTTCAAGACCTAGGGCTATTCATATGAGCTAAGACCTGTAAATTATGGATTATTGTGGGTTCAAGGTAGAATAACTTGTTTTTATCTCTTTATATTGTAGGCATTCAGAAATTATTAGGTAGATAGGGACAACCGTCAGGAGGCATTAACTATTCATGTTAAGCATGGGAAGTGTTTAGTTGGATTGTAAAGGATATTTCAATCTAAGAAAATTGTTTTATGGTAATGATGTTGATTAAATTCGAAAGCTGAAACTACAGTTCAGAAAGCCACTTTTAATGGGATCCTATTTACTGACAAATGTTGCCATAAAGTGAAAACCCAGTTGACTTTATTCGGTGGTTGGTGACTAGTAATGGAATCCACGATGCACATTTCGTCTTATTCGCTTTGATATTTGATATAATGGGTGCTGAGTTCGAGCTCCAGTGGAAGCAAAATCATTCACTGGGGTGTGCTGCAGTTCATCCAGCTGAAGGGTCTCAAGTATTACTAAGCGCGCATACTAGTCACCATCTACCAAAATAACGTCATGTCTATCCCCAGACATCGTCGAAAGGTTCTTAGCGGGAGCTGATATGTCAACAGAAGCCAAACATTTCGGCGTAATTCATTAACGGTTAAAACAAAATTGACTTCAACAAACCCGAATGGCTCGTTATTTAAACTGTTCCTTATGATCTTCCCTGCAATATGACGCTAATACTAATGAGATATTTCGTGTCTACTGACATGTAAAGCTACTAGAACACGATCCACAGTTATTTCTAAATTATCTAACATCAACGGTCCCCATTTCAACTAAAATAAACGAAGATTAAAAAAACGGTAAATCATGAACAAACCTTGTGATCTAAAGTTTTCTTCAGCTTATTGTATCCAGCACATTACTAGGTTACTCAGAGCGTAAAATTCTTAAGTAGCTGAAACTTTGAACAGTTGCCTCCATAGCCTAGTACTGCATCAGATACTATGAATCATTTTATTAACAGCTAACCTTAATCAAAGGCTCCCAGATGTTTTTATCTGTCAACTATGTCTTATGATGTGATAATTAGAAAATGAAGATCACTTATGTTTAAGTCAGTTTTGTTCTTATGGTTAACTGACTGTGCGTCGGTGGCACAGTGGTTAGGACTCTCACCGACCATGCACATGGTCCGGGGTTCGATCCCCTGCCGGCGCACAACCGATATCTATGGTCGGCCTGTAAATTTGGGCTACCGATATCCATGCTGAAAATTCCATACTTGTACTGAAAATACGGTGTGGAATCAAGCTGTAATCAAAATAATAAATAAATAAAATGTTCGGCCTCTAAACGGGCGCTTTGACGATGTCTGATGTTATCTGATGGATGGTTATTAGCACTGGAATCCAGGATTCGTATTCCATCCTCTTTGGGACTCGTCAGGTGGATGTAATCGCAATCCGCAGTAAAAGATGGTGTTCCCATTGAAGGTATATGCAGCTAACGAGTCCAAAAGTTGGACGTAATGCGCATCCTGGATCCCACTGCCAGTTAATTCCCACCATTAAAGTGTTCAGGCATTGCAATAAAATCTTGTTGGGAGTTGTCATATTATCATCCGCACCTATTAATTTTAAAGTCTGTTTTATATGTTTCTTGCTGAAATTTTTCTTTTCATAATAGATGGAAGATATCTACTTTCATTTCTATTCGGTAATGAAGATAAAAGTAAATTAAATTCTGAGAATTTAGAAAGATTATCTATTTATGTTGAATCAGAACCACGTCATCGAGATTCTAAAACGCTAACTAGATCAAGTTCTAGTTTATGTGGTTATGTTACACGACTAAATGATGCAATTTTCAATCCACGCTTACATATACCATGCAGACAACCATTACTTGGACGATATGTTTATGTTGAAGCTCGTGGAGTTCGTGGAAGATGGTCACAGGAGTTTGCAGCCTTATTATGTGAAGTAATGGTGTATTGAAAGCAAAATGTCTTTATATGCAATCATAATAAACGTTAATTATGCATTTATGTCTATAATCACCTCATTAAAACACAAATGTTATTACCTCTAAATGAACAGTTATGCATGAATAATTTTTATATGCCTACAAAACAAGTAAAATTGAAGTGAAGTCTATTTTGTCATTTTCTTGTAACTGTCTGCCGTCTTACATTTTCATGTTCAATTGGTCTACTGCTACATTTCATGTTTATGTTTAGGATCACCTTATCCACGTACCTACATATGTAAATGTAAAAATATGGAAACATGATTATATTTAATATTTCACAACTGAACTCACCTTAGTTATCTGTTTTATGGTAGAACTCATGACTTCTTTAAATCGTACACCAGTATTGAACAAGAAAGCATGTTAACTTAAACAAAACTTAACGCATACACACATATATACGATTTATAATATTTTATTCACCTTAATTTCCCTACTTATTACAGTAATATACGCATACATTAATTCTAAATTCGAGTTAAGAGATCGTGGTCGATTTTGTTTCACAGACATAAATGTAAGTAAATATATAAACTTCTTAATCAATTTGGTTTACTTCTCCCTTGTCTAAGATAATGAAAACTGGAGATCTGATTACAAACTCTGAACGCATTATATGGTTATAGCAAAAGTTATATTTTACATAGATAATCGCAAAGTTTGCATACAAGTATGAATCCTTCTTACTCTGATGATTTCAGGTAGTTGTCACAATAATACTTCTTTTAAAAAAAGATGTAGCTGTAGTTTTCATCGTTTAAACTTTAGAGGCTGAGGATACTGACGTTTACGGATAGTATGAAGTATACTAACGCAAGATCTAACACCCACAACTTAAATAGTATTTTATTCCACGCAAACCAAAGGCAAAGCAAAACACAATAATTGATTGTCCAAATTACGAGATATATTTCGGGACTAAATCGGAGTGCGAGATGATTGCTTAGTGTGATTGTTATTTGTAATAGTAGTATTTGTATTTCGCAATGACCGAATTACAGGAATTCAACCAAAACACAGAGAGGGATGAATTTAGGAATTTGTATTTGGCGGAATTATATTTTCAAATCAAAATAATAAATATATTAACAAACAACAGTAAGTATTTAAACAATACAAAGATAGAAATTGTCAATCACCACATCCGCCAGATGTCGAATGTCTCCTTGCGTATTTATAATGAGGTCTTGGTTTGCTTGCAAGTCTCTGGGATCTTCTAACTGATTCTGTGATATTATTTTCATCAGTATCATCTGGACTTATTTCTGAATTATCTACAATATTAGGATTAGTAGCGGAATCATTAAAATTATAATCGGAACGACCTACTTCGTTTATTCTCACTTGATCCAGGTGTCTGTTATGAATTGAATAATCTTCGATGTCTAATATTTTCACCATTCGATTTCCCATTTTTTGTAGTATGATTCCAACAGAAGGTCTATAGTCATTCCCTCTGTAATAATGTACATCAGAAGTCGTAGACATTAGGTGCTTTCTGAGAATTCGAGATTTGAACAGTTTAGCAGGACTTTCATGGGTACTTGTATGCTCCGCATTGCGATATTGAAGTAGGAAGTTATCTACACATATCTCTAGCTCATCAAAATTCTTAGGACTCATTGATGCTATGGCACTCTTTAATGTTCGTACGAAATTTTCTGCCAAACCGTTTGACTGAGGATGACGTGGTGCTGTGTACAGATGACGGCAACCCATGTGTTTAAGCCAATCATTGAAGTTCTTCTCAGTGAAATGAGTACCATTATCAGTAACTAAGACATCTGGAATTCCTTCTCGACTAAAAATCTTTCTCAACGCTCTGTGAGTGAATTTCGCATTAGGACTATCTGTAATTATAACTTCTGGCCATCTAGAATAAGAATCCACAATAATTAAAGCATAGTATGAATTTAAGAATGGACCACAGTAATCTGCATGAATACGCTGCCAAACCTCACAAGACGTAGGCCACGGTTTCCACGACGACTTCCCATAGGACATTTTATGCAAACAGCTGGAACAGCTCTTCGATCTTTTGTTAATGTCAGCATCAATTTCCGGCCACCAACATGTTAGACGTGCTAATGATTTCATCTTATCAGCTCCCAGATGCGCAGAATGAAGATCATCCAAAATCGCAGATCTTAATGTCGGAGGAATAATAATTCTGTCATTCAGACATAGAAATCCTTCAGGATGGACTGAAATCTCATCTCTTCGCTTATAAAAGTCCGGAAATCTTCGCTTACACTGAATATTCTAACCTCTTTTTGTTGCATTTATAATGCACCCGTAATACTTCCGAGTATCGTTTATAAGTCGAACTCTATCCACAGGTAACGGCTGGACTAACAAACAATCAGTGTCATTAGCAGAATTTTCAAATAATGAATAACGAGATAAGAAGTCTGCATGAGGTACATCCTTAGCCGATCTGTGTTCAATAGTGTAATCATATGATTACATATATGCACTAATCTGGGTTGTAAATGAATTTCAAAGCCTGATGATCAGTAACTATGTGAAACTTAGTACCAAAGAGATACTTGTGCAAGCGTCTTATTGCCCATACAACTGCTAGAGCCTCTTTCTGGGTTTGTGAGTACCCTTTTTCACTCTTACTTAGACGTCTTGAAATACAAATAACAGGTTGTCCATTTTGCTCAAGTACTGCAGCTATACCAGCAGGAGAAGCATCTGTAGTGAGAACGGACTTATCTTTCGATGAAAAAGGTCTTAAGAAAGCTTGTTTATTAAGAAACTCCAAAGTTTTTCGCAAGATATCTCCATGTTGTTGTTCCCACTTAAATTGTTTACTGGAGACAATATTAAAAAGTGGAGATAACAGTTGAGTGAAATTGGGAATGAATCTGGAGTAAAATTGAAGAGTGCCAATCCATGATCTCAACGACGTCATATTATTAGGTGACGGTGATTGAATAAGAGGTGCCAAACGCCTAGCATCAGGTCTGAAACCCTCAGAGTCTACTGTATATCCCAAGCATGATACAGACGACAAAGTAAAATGACATTTAGATGGATTAACAACAACATTTTTCTCACAGAAGCGCCTGAACAGTTTTAAAAGACGTTCATTATGCAATTCCATGTTCGGACCATGAACTATAATGTCGTCTTGGTAAGACTCAACACCATCTAATCCGTCTATCATCTGATTTATTACTTTTTGAAATATTGCAGGAGAAACCTTTAAACCAAAAGGCAAGAACTTATACTTGAACAATCCAAATGGAGTATTAATGGTTGTTAATGCACTAGAAGCTTCGTCAAGAGGAATTTGCAAATAAGCATCTTTTAGATCTATTTTGGAAAAGTATTTTGAGCCATGTAGCTTGTAGAGAATATCTTCGCTTTCTAGCAAATATATAGAGTTTGGGGTGATCATAGTCTAGGACTCAGTAATTAACTAACTACACAGGAGACTGACAATCACATAGTTCCAAATATGGTCCTAAAAAAGAACTTATTCAATTTCATAAAGACTGGAACTAGGTGTTGTACCATATTTTACAGATTCACACCTGTTATCCTGAAGCGTGTACTTAGGTATCAGATGGTTGATGCATTAGACGGCGTAGAATCTTATCAGAGTTATACTTTGGTTTACAGAGAGTATATTATATTGCATGTTGAGTACTTTTTGAAACTGTCCAGAGGAATCAGTTAGTCTCTTGGTCATCTGAATCCGGGCATCTTCACTAACCAGTCAACTCTCGTTGGGATCAAGAATTGATACCGTGAAGTTTTACTCTATATTTGTTTCTAGTTTCGCCCACTTCTCACTTCTATCTTTTGAGAATGAATTTAGTTAACTCTGCATACCTGAACAACGCTATTATAATCATTATAATAAAGGATTTTGCATTTCCCAATGAATGATATTGTTGCTCTTACTGACCTTTCGCTATTCAATGCTGCTGCTATCAGCTTTATCAAAGTATTATTAAACCAGAATTTACAAAATCTCAGCATATATATAACATAGAGTTAAGAGGTGAGAAAATAGACTTAGGTCAAGTTAAAAGGACATATTGAAAGTCAAAATAACAATGAAGATCACTAAACCAAGTAACAGAGGTAATAGTACATCCAGGAAGTTCGTAACACCTACGGCCTGGAAACCTATAATAGTACATCTGTTATGGTATCAAAACAAAGTTTACTAAATTGATTATCGTCCGTCAGTTTGGGGTCATTTTTCGTTGTCAAGTTAGCCAATTGGTAAAGATAACAAAACCATGTGTGTGTAGACTGTTAAATTTGATTAGTGTATAAAATTATAAAAGCAGCGTGTGTTTACATAATGTAATTGCTTATCACATTCGTGTTGATTTTGTCGCTTCATGAGGAAGGAGGGTGTTGTAACCAGGTCAGATTCTGTTTCAGTCCATCATTCCTATTCAGACAATTTGGATTCCACTTGATATGAAGTGCTTCTGATATTAAACGTTCTTTGTGATTTCTGAAGTTTTTCTGGATTATTTCAATATTATCAAAATCACTTTTGTGGCCTGATTCTATAGCGTATAGGCCTATGGCTGATGATTTTTCAAGCTTTCCTAGTTCAGTTGGATTTCTCGGTGGTTGAACAGATGCTCTACGAAGTTCATTTTTTCTGATTTTGACAACGAAAAATGACCCCATACTGACGAACGATAATCAAGTTAGTGAACTTTGTTTTGATATCATAACAGATGTACTATTACCCCTCTTGTTTGGTTTAGTGATCATTGTTATTTTGACTTTCACTATGTCCTTTTAACTTCACCTAAGTCTATTTTCTCACCCCCTAGCTGAGATTTTGTAAATTCTGGTTTAATAATACTTTGATAAAGCTATTAGCAGCAGCATTAAATAGCGAAACGTCAGTAAGAGCAACAATATCGTTTTGTTTTTCATTCATTGGGAAATACAAAATCCTTTATTATAATGATTATAATATAATCAATGCCAAAAACTTTTCAAACTGTTAAAAGTGAACTTGGTGTGGACATATATAACGCTATTATAATATCAAATGAAATACTGTGAATTTTCCAAATAATTAAGCTTTCCTGAGGCCATTCTCATCAGGCATAAATCATCTAATATTTGAGATAGTCGTTTTTGCATTGGGTACAGACGCATGAGAAGAAGAAAAAAATGAGTAACCGGTTATTACATTTCGCAACACTTGAGTAAGCATAAACACAGAAATGTTCATGAAATATGAAAGTTACACCAACCTTTTTCTTGGCAATAGGCTGTCTGTGTTGAACTTTCTAAGCCTTTAGCCGACTGTGTTCAGTTTCTACAGATCTTTTCGACGTATTCAATGAATTGTAATCTCATATCTCCTGGATGGTTGAGAAGCGCATGC